GTGGCATGCAGTCGCTGACTTCAGAGCCTGGGTGAGGATATTGAGTGCAGGCAGACCAGTAAGTGTACAGGACTATCTCCCTGCTGCAGAGTCCCAAGATGGCAGCCACTGGAGGAGCCCCTCGTTGGTAGGTGGGGGTCCACACAGGAGTGGTGGCTGGAGTTCCTGTGTGTAGAAAGCTGCAGGGTGTCCTGCATGGGATTGGTGTTCTTGATTTCTACTCGAGTGGATGGCCAAAAGTTCTGTGTGGGTACTGATGCTGTTGGTCCTTCTTGGGTACCTGGCAGTCCTGTGTGGGCAAGTAGTTGGGATATCTACTCCGAAGCTGAGGCCAGGAGCCCTGGACAGGCAAGGCGATGGTGATTCCTGTGCAGGAGCAGGAATATCACTCTCAGAGAAGCCGTATCCTCACTACTTGAGTCCAAAGTCATGGAGTGACACAGAATACTGCCTCCCTCTGGCCCGCCATCTTGGATCCCCTCCTTCCCTCTGTTCTTTCAAATGTAAATCAGTTTTGCCTAACTGGCTTTCTCAGTTAGCTCTTTGACTTTTTATTCCATTAGTGTGGCATCAGTCAGATCTAAATGTTTTCTGGGAAATAAATGCTCCTTTCTGCTAGCAGTACGAGCGAGGGTGTAAGGTGCACATGTCCATGTGTGTACATAGGACAGAATGGGAATGGCATATGATAAAGGCTAGGAATACTCATAATTCTGATTGTGAGTTTCAGATTGACACATACATATGCGTTGACTGGATTGATCTAGCTGAATTACAAAACTTGGTAACAGAGAAAGGAAATGATGGTTGGAACAAAATCCCCCAACAGAGCAGAAGCAGAAAGGTGGCTAGATTATATGTCATTTTTGTGCAAAGTTTAAAAAACCATCCTTTCTCTACTTGAGCCCAGATAACACCACAGTAGGTGGCCTGTGGAGTATAGTGTTATCCAAATTCTGGCCTGACTCTCTTTGTGGAGAATTTATAGAACATGACCTGAATAACAATAGAAAAGCTATACAAAGCACGGGAAAGGGACTAGGCTGGCCTCTAAAACAAGGAAGGGCACCACTTCTTCCTTGAAATAGAATTGTCTAGTGGTTGCTGAAAGTTTTTTTTTTTTTTTAAGTTCAAACTAAATAACATTATGGTAATAGGAAGAATCTATTTGTGGAATTGTTGTTTTGCATTTCATCTATTTGGTCACCAAGTAAACCAACCCATAGAAATGTTAAGCTTCTTACCCTTTCAAAACCACAAAAGTCTGCTCTCGAAAACTAGAAGAAAAGAGAAACGTTAACTTTTGCTTGCATATTAGAGGCATGACAAAACAGTAATTTAAAGTATACTAAAGGAAATTCATGTTTTTTCTATTCCATCAGTTAGGATGATTAAACACTAAACCAGCCTCTGACATAGTTTATATAATATCCTGGAGATTTTCCCTTTAGTCTTTGCTTTGTGTGACCATCTTATTAATTTACTTATACCTTAATGAAATTCCAGCAAGGATTTGAGATGAAGATTGTAAGGGCTCCCCAACCCCTCCAACTGGGGATTGAACCTAGGCCTTGAACATGCAAGTTATACCAGGTATAAGAAATATTTGCTTCTCGGTCAGTTGCTTTTGTTTTCCTTCTCTTATCTTAATTTATATTACCTTTTAAACTATACTTAGTTTTACCAATTACCTTATAGCATTTTGGAAACTTATACAGTGCTTTAGTCAGCTTAGAGGAGGAAAAGTTTATTTTGGGGCTCACAGTTTCAGAGGTCTCAGTTCATAGACAGATGGCTCCATTCCTTGGGGGTTAAGATGAGTTAGAACATCATGGCAGAAGAGTATGGCAGAAGAAAGCAGCTTCCATGATGATCAGGAAGCAGAGAGAACCTAAGCTCAGCTCACCAAATATTACCCCAAAGGCATACCTCCAGGAATTCATCTCCTCCAGCCACATCCTACCATCCTTGGGTTAACATTTAGTTAATCCCCATTGGGATTAACTCACTAATTGGGTTAAGGTTTTAATAACTGAACCATCTCACCTCTAAATCTTCTTGCATTGTCTCACACATGAACTTTGGGGGGCCTCTCACATCCAAATCATAACATACAGCTAAAATACATAGGTAGATAATGTCTTTTCTACATGTATATATTTAAAATTTACTATAAATACATACATCAATAAAACTGGCACCATTTTCAAATTATATATTCAGTATTGTAAGGCAAAGGAAAAAGTTGCTATATTATGCAACTTTTTTAAAAGGAAGAAGTATTTTAATTCTAGGATATACCACACATAACTCAAATGCCAAATATTTCTTTTTATGTCTCAGAATTTAAGGTTAATGATTAGTTACAAAGTGATTTACATACCTTTAGGATTTTGCCTGAAGGATAGCGAAGATCTTTACTTACAAAAACACCCAAAGATGTGAGGATAACTAAAACATGATTTGTTAAAACCATATCAATCAAGGAAAGCCCTGAATGTTCTAAAAGAAGAAATCAAACCCTGGGTTAAAAAGTAAGAAAAAAAGTGAGCTCTTTAGCAAAGCAAAGACATTTCATAAATACTGTTCAAATTATTATAAGTGAAAGGCTGTAGATAAAGGCAGCTAGAGGAATTACCTTCATGAAGTGAAGTATAGATGTTTTCTGTCAGGTCATACCACATGGTAGAACCATAATTCCAAAATCCAGAAAAGGTTAGGCCTATGAAAACACCTACAATGAAAGAAAAGAAAATGAAAACTCAACAACTTCACAGAACTAGCCACTTCAATGGTGCTAGACTTCCAGGGCAGGAGCATGAATCTACCTCATCTTCCAATACAATTTCCTGTCCTACTTCAACTCTCCTTTTCTCAGTTTGAATCTCATTTCCCCACACACTAGAAAGATGAATTAACTGCAAGTTACAGCCAGGATTTTATCCAACCACCTCATTGACTCCTAGAAGAGTTCCTCTGGGAACGTTCTGTTCTTAAGCCCTCTTAATGCATTGTTATAGCCTAAAAATATTTTCCAAGCTGTATTTAAGTATTCTGTTCATATTGAAGAGGATCATAATACTCTACTCCAAAATATGCCATTTTGATTTAACACCAAGACAAGTTTGCATAAACAGACATTACTTAAATAACCCTTATCCTCCATGAGTTTTTCTCAGATATTTCATAGCTATTTCTTCACAGCTTATTGTCTCTTGAAACCCAACCCCCATTTTTTTTTGTTAAAATGGCATATAAGATCCAAGTTTAAGCACAATTGACAATTGAACATAGGAGCAGTTTGGTCTTAGAGGAGTGAGTAGTCAGCACCAACAATACAGATTTGGGATTCATCAGCCTGCAGATGGCATTAGTAAGGAGACTGAATTGAGTCTACCAGAGAGAAAATGTGATCATTTTCTCTCTGGTAGAAAAAGGAAGGAGAGTCAAAAACCCCAGGTTCATCAACATTGAGAGGTCACTCCAAAAAGGAGTCAACCTAGAAAACTAAAGAGTTACCAATGAAAAGCAATTGAAGGTGGTGTCAAGAAAGCCAAGAGGATAAAGTGTTTTGAGGAGAGTTGTCAACTGCATTAATGTTCTGGGAGGAAAAGTAGAATAAGAAAAAAGAATTGGCTGTTGGAATAGGGCAATGTGGAGATTGTGGGTGATCTTGAGAAGAACTCTTCAGATAGAGGATGGAAACAAAAGTCTGATTTGCAGTAAAATAAAGATAAAATGTGAAGTGAAAAACAGTAGTCCCATTTTGCTTTGAAGAACAGTTAAATGGAGGGTGGGAGTAAAGTCAGATGAATGAAGGTTTTGTTTAAGATGGGGGACAGTGGGGCTTGCTGGTATGCTAATGCATAAGATCAAGGAGGAGGGAGAGCATGATGAAGCAGGAGAGAAAGGGGAAGTGCAGTGTAGATGCAGGAGGAGAAAATTTCTTCAGATGGTGGGAGTAGGATCCAGGACATGAGAAGCGAGGAGTGGTCTTTGATGGAAGTAGAGAGAAGGAATACAACAGGTGGAAGGCAGAGCTTGCAAGTGGGAGTGAGGCAGGACTGCAGATGGCAGGTGTAATAGTGAAGGAGTGCCTATGAAAAGTCTCTACATTCTCTATGAAGTATTAGACAAAGGCACAGCTGAGAGAGGGGAAGCAGATGACACTGAGTGTCTGAGGATTTGGAAGAGGTGTGATAAGGCCATCTTGCAGAGTGGGAAAATAAATATAACATAGAGGAGTGACAGGATATCAGGGCAGTGCTACATGCCCTATTGAAATCTGTGATCATGAGTTTAAAGTGAGACCAGTCTGTGGAATTCTTAAATGAGACTGGTGAGCAATTATTTTCTAGCAACCATGTGCTCCTGCTCTTCCAGGAGCACAGGTGGTCTAAATAGAGTTGGGAGTACACAAGGAAGAAAGAGAAGGGTGAGAAGGTTACAGAATATTTATAAGGATGGAACATGAAAATTATGGTGAGAGAAGAAAATAAGGATATTGGATACTTAAAAAGTATGGTTCAAAGTCTCAACAAGACCAAAGGAATGTTGGAATATGAATTCTGGGAAAGATAGAATAGAAGGCAGTACACGGTGTGAGATTCTTGTATTGGAGATTTTTGAGATACTGACGATTATTAGAGATTATGAGGTCATGAAAATAACCACAGAAGGAGATGAACCCTTGGAACTGGATAACCCTTAACATGGGTTACTGAAAACAGTGACAAAAATCAAGGTGGAGAGGAAGGCAGAGATCAGAAGCTTAACTCATTAAGAGTGTGACTGACAAGGAAGTGCTGGAGCAGACCTGAAGGGATATGTCATACGAGTGACCTACAGGAGGAAGGTGGTTAATAAGTCCAAAATGGAGCACATAGGGCCACTGTTCTTACCATTAACCTCATGTGGAATTAAGGCTAGAAGGATGAACAGGGCCTTGCAAAGGAACTGCTAGCTAAGGCAGTTTGCCTGCTACTGTGGCAAATTTTGTTTCTGTTTCGGGACAGTGGTAGTCAGTTGGGGGAACGGGGGTTTCACCTAACAGGTTGCTGAAACCAATTCTTTTATGAAAGTCTGAGGTGGTCTGTGAATGTGACTCCAGGCAATTAAAACTGCCCCTTCCCTCCTCCATGACTCTCACTTTTATGTCAGGATGGAGCTTGAGGAATTGAGAATGGCTGCTCTATTGTGGGTCAGGGTAGGAAGGCAGATACCAGTGTTTGAATAAAGAGAAGAAGAAGGAGATCCTAGCCTGGTATCCATGAAACAAAGTAGGGAAAAAAAGCTGTTTACATCTAGGTTGTTAGAGCTCAACACAGGGACAGCAGAGAGGAGATAGACACATGACTTATAACTAACTTAGCAGAAGCAGGCATTCAAAACTAGAGAAAACCAACAGACTATAAACTTTTAGGAAGTCAAGGAAACCTGAGCCCAGGCTATGTCTATTCCTAACCCAATGCACACGGTTTTAATCTGTTGCTTTAGTATAAAGTGATGGTAGGGTAAGCTTTTATTCTT